AAGTTTGTCTAGGTCTTGGAACTCACAGTACACTGCGGCCTTTCGTAGCGCTGCAACATACTTGTTGATTGATTCGCCTTCCCTCTGGTTGCCAATATTAAATTCGTGCCGGCGGACGTGCTTAGACGGCTTGGGAGCGTAGTGAGTCCTCAGCGTCTGTTGGAGCATGGACCAAGCGACCGATTGTAGCAGCATTGGTTCTGACAGGCCTTTGGCAGTTTTGAACATTTCCGGTCCACAGTAACCGAGGAACATGTTCTTCTTGTGGCCTTCACAAAGGCCCATGAGGTCATTGGCTTCGAGGAAGCAGTCCAACCTTAGCATATACGAGTCCCAGTGCTTGCTGACTGGGTCAGTCAGTGGGGCATGCATGGCCATTTTGTGTTCTGAGGGCGTTTTGAGCTTGCCGCTGAAAAATGGCTGCTCGAAGCCACACTGAGCTCCGGGCTGTATTTACTTGCTGGATTGCTACACTCTTTTTGGTTCGCCTAGCTGCCTTCCAATCTCACCCTCGTCGCCAGTATTAGATCGGGTAATGGATAGGCACATGCAGGCTAACGGTAACAACAATTCTTTATTAAATCAGAACAAGTATGTACAATCCAGCAAAGGTTGAGTCTGACAGCAGCCCTTTTATAGGGAGCTGTCAGACCCTTCGACCAATTAGATTAAACCTCTGTTCCCACCAGAAGAGAGGACCTTGGTGGAAACCACTGTAACTGAAGCTAGTATCTAACAATAATATTCCCCAACCAGAGCACTAATGACTGCTCTAACATCCAAACTGTAGCAAATGTTGCTGAAACAAATTATTTGTGCGTACATTATTAACAAAGTCATCCCAAAATTTAATGGTAGCAAGTACTAGAACAGATTATTTATATATAATAATATAACCATAGATCATATAATTAGAAACCTAATATATCTTATCTAAGAAATTAAGTTTAGTTCTCTTTTTCATTTATTTGTACAATACAAACATAAAAATAATTGAGTTTATAGTTGGAGTTTTCATTGATCATTAATCCATCATATGGATGGAATGTTAAACTGAGGGAAAAATAAAAATACACAGTATGTATGCACAGATTACTACATTTATTTTCAGTTTGAAGAACAACTTTGCAGTCTGATGCATAGCAAAGCAAATAACTTTTCAGTAGCCTGTGTACTGAAAACCTTTTGTTTGTTTTTCTTTATTACTGTCCTTCCAACATAGAATTCTGGATTGTATTCTGCTTTTCAGTATCTTTCTAATATACAACGTTTCCTACAGTTTTTATTTGTATAACACATTCAGTGGTCCAGTCCACACATCATACAAAGCCATGTCAATAAGCCATAATAGACTGTAAGTGCAATTAGATTGGATAAACAAGCAAACATCCAGACTGAACAACTCAAAATTTCATGGAAAACTTACTATATTTGCACGCATTTTAACTGCTTAGAAAAAGACAAAGAAGTTAGGTTTGCCCATTCATGTCAGGATACAGTGGTAGTTATGCCCATGAGCAAGCATTGTATTAATTTGCTTTCCATTAAAACTTTCCAGGTTTAGAAAATTTCCAAATAAGACTCCAAAAAAAGGTAGCGTATATTGGACAAAGTTTATGGGTAAACATAATTTACAAATAACTCAAACTGTAATGATTAGACTTTACATATTTAACGAAACCAAATAAGCTGCCTGATTGGATAAGGCAATCAATGCAATCATACAAAATAGTTTAGTAGTCTACAGTTTTTATTGTAGTAAAAATGTGAATATCCAATACTAATTGTTAAGTTATAGGAAATCTGTTTATATTATCTCTACTGTATATTCAAGGTATTCTTTAACCAACTAGGTTTATGTAACTAGCTTATCACCTGTCCTCTTCATATTTCAGAATCAACATCAATGAGCTTATAAGAAATGAGATAGCATCACTAGTATTCTGAAAATATCCAATTTAACCACACAGCTTTGTTATTTTACTGTAAGAAAGCATGTGGAACCTTTGAATCTTTGGAAAGTTTGTTTAGGTTAGGCTGAAATTTGAAATTTAAAGGAATTTTGTAGTTCTGGATGAAGTAATATATAACCTTTTTTGATTGAGGATATGTATCTTCTAAATAATGAACTATGTAACTAACAGAAGTTGCATTAAGATGTAACTAGCAGATTTTATCACTTAGCTTGCCTATTCTATTCATCTAGAAAAGATGAATTTGGTCTCAGTTGTCTCCATCATTCAGCAATCTAAATGACTACACAGATCCATAGTTTACAAATGATGCAAAACCTGGCTACTAGAGTAATGGCAGAACAAGTGAAAGAACATAATCCTTCTATTCTAAAAAAATCATTTTGAAATGATAGAGGGAAAGTCTTTAAAGATCTGGATTTGGGCTATATTTAAGGTTGGGTTTTGAAGCTGTGTATTTAGCATCCATCATATTATTTTTGGTCCATTGTTAGCAAAGAACCAATAGTATCATATTGTTTATCTGTGGATCTGTATAAGTAAGAAAGTAGTTAGATAAAATATTATTTGACTGCATTGCTTGGCAATATAATTTTAGTAGTCCCAGTTGTTCTTGTTGGGTGAAGTTCACACCATTATTAGGACCTCATGCTTTTCCTCTCCTTCACCAACTGCTGGCTCTATCTTATTGCCTCTTTCCCAGCTGGGCCCCTTTAGCAGCCAAGACTCAGCTTCAAGTCCCCCTACTCACAAATTTCCCAGGTCTGTGCTCTTTTGGCTACTCTACACACCATTGTTGCCTATCCCCACAGTCCCCTCACTCTCCAGATGACTTTCACCACATTCTACCTGTTGTTGCTTGTCTGAAATCCAGACGCTGGATGAAGGCACAGCCCTGTAATACACACTGGACTGTAACTCCATCTGTTGAAGGGAGCTCGCCAAACGCAGCCAGGAAGGGGGCAGGAAAATGGAGCTGGCAAAGGCTCCCTGGGCCAAGGTGGTGACTATTAGCCCTTGTCCAATGCCTGGAGGAGATAGGCAGGTGGGAGAAGCTGAAACACATTCTATGATTTAAATATGGGACAGCTGCCCCACATTTTGATCGAGTATAGGGGCATTGCAATGTTGCAACTTTGAGAACTGGATGCAATTAAAATTCATTTAGCAGTTTCATAACTTGCAATGGCCATTGAATGAATGATCATTAAAAGAGTACTATCTGTAGCACTACTTAAATTCCCTCTCGACATTTTTTTTCTGGTGTTTCAAAAAAGAAAAAAAATGATGTCCTTAAACATTGCCACTGCTGTTTCTACCGTATTTCTCCAAAAATAAGATAGTCTTATTTTCTTTTGACCCCCGAAATAAGCGCTTGGCCTTATTTTTGGGGAGATCTTATTATTTTTTGAGATGCAGGATGTGACGAGCATGGTCACTTCATGGCTGCTGCTGTGTTGCAATATTTTTGGGAAGAGCTCAAAAGCCTGATTGGGCTTATTATCTGGGGAGTCTTATTTTCAGGGATACAGGGTAATAAGAACAGGTATTTTGCTTATTTTCAAAGATGTAAAAAGAGGATACCATTTTTTCCTGAATATTTATTTTATTATCTCTCCCCCCCGCAATCTCTCTCACACACAAACAAACACCTTTCCAGTTAGAATTCCCAAAATGTTACCATTTATGGTAATTATCTATTCTGAATCCTCACAACTTAATGCAAAATACATTTATCTGATAAGCTAAAAAACAAGGTTCACTGAACCAAACTGATACCATCTGAATATTAAATTCATCAGAAAAATGTAAAAATATGTAAAATTTCCCTTTCCACTTTAGTTGTATAATCATACATCAACATTGTAAAGATTCAGGGATTCTACCAAAGATTGTGAGCAGGTAAGCTCTCCATTCTCTCTCTCTCAGCCCAACCCACCTCAGAGGATTGGGGGGAAATAGGAGGAGGAAAAAGTATGTTTGCTTCTTTGAGTTATTTATAAAATAACAATGATGGGATAAAAATCAAAATAAATAAATATTAAAAATTACAGAACATTGAAAAAATATCTCTGAGTCATTCCACAAAGCAGATGTACCAGACAGAACTGTTCTCTCTTCCTTTCCTCCTGTTTATCTATGACAATTCGCCATGGCCAACTTGCCACAGCCAATCCACCACAGTCAACTTGACACGGCCATCTTGCCACAGGACAACTTGCTGCAGGACAAGAGTTACACTAATATCAAAGAAATGGTGGAATAGAATCATTAAAGAAAGGATGCAAAAGGAGGGACAGGGTGAAATGTGAAGGGCAAAAATTAAAATAACTTTTATTTATTTTAAATAATTAAATAGAATTGTTAAATTGTCCTGCAGTGACTTGCCTTGCGACGAGTTGGCCATTACAAGTTTGTGAAAAAGTTTTTGACAGTGTTCCCTTAAATTGACGCAAAAACAGCAGCAAAATATTTATTGTCTACAATTCAAAACACTACTGTGTAGGTTGAAGATTAAATTTGTAAAATGTCCAATTCAGACCAACCCAATCTTTCATTCTACTAAACAAGAGACTTAGTTGAACTGTCCCTTCCAGATTCTCAGAAAACTCCCCAAGAGACCTCTGAAAACCAACTGTATATGTCGCATTTGGAATGGACTGCAGAGAGAGACTTACACTGCAGAATTTCATAGCAATCAGAGAGTGGTCTGTCCATAATCAGGAGCAAATTTCAGTATCTCCCAATTTCAAATCAGTTGCTTCTTCCCTGAGACAAAAGACAAATGCAGCATCCATGTATCAAGTCCTCAATGGATCTCAATCATGACCATGGTTGATATAACAGTCATAAACAACTGACATCTTAAAACCCCTTGTTTGAGGAAGATATGTTGAAATTGTAAAAAAAAAAATAGTATTAAATTCAGGAAACTTTTCCACCACCTCAGCAATCAGGTTAAGCAGCCCAGGAAAAGGCATAGTTTTTGCAAAGAACAGCCAACAAATACAAAAAGGGTATCCATACCACATCTGAAGTGTCCTTGCCTGTTTTGAATACTGCATACACCTTAAACAAAAATTGGGTTATTTAATAAGTTATTTAATAAGAAAAGATGAAACCTGGTTTGGCTTCTTTTAAATCAAATTCATAATTTTAAAAAAAAGACCAAAGTAGGTTTTGATAAATAGAGCAGTTGCTTATGAAAAAGAGATAACTAATTTCTTGTAATGCAAGAGGATCTGAGTTTCTTTGGATTCTTTATCAGAGTTTCCATTGGCATGATTCCTTCATAATTCTAGAGAACTTTGGGCATAATATTATAGTATTTATCCAATTACATAAATAGGTACATTTGGGCTATCGATGTGACTTAAACCTGGAACCCTTTTATATTTCAAAATATTACTTTGTACATATCATATTTCATCCATTGAGTTTATTCCCTAAGAACATTAACTTTTCTGAGGGACTACCTGAAATGATTCATTGCAATATTTTATTATACATATATTTTTCAAATGAATTCTTTTTCCAACCCTGCTTCAAAATATATACAGAAGATTTTTAAAAATAGTCACTTATCCCTACATATATCCATGATTGGAACTAGACATCATTATTCCATAAGAAAGGGCAGATCCCTATTTAAAGATGTACCACAGGCTGCAGCTGCCTGGTTTTATTATGAACAAATTTAATAAAATAAAAACAAAAACTTGTCAATAAGGAAATGTGAAAGTTAAAATGATGGAAGCAATAATAGTAAACACTGCAGGAGTTTAAACCTTAAAGTTAAAATTCATTTATTAAGTTTTAGATACTATAATAAGAACTAGATTTTATTACAGTTTATAGATCACACAACCATGATAGAAATTACATTAATATTGCATTAAACACCAACTCTATAACAAGAAGTAAAACCAGAATAAATACGTCAAAGTAGTATTTTTAATGAGCTGATGATGTTGCTTTAAAAATCTAGATTTACTGTACTTTATATAGTGCTGTGCTTTCTATAGTTCAAATAAATTTTAAAAAAAGGTTAAAATGCTGCTTCAATGCCTTACCAATATTATGTGACCAGTCGAGATATCCATATTAGACTGGACTGGTTCTTCGCACCAGGATGAAGTGCTGCTTCGAGTAGAAGGACTTGGAATAAGTCCATCACTAAACTGTGAAGATATGCTATTAATACGAGAAGCATGTAGAGGTTCTGAACAATCTGATGTTTTCACCGCCATACGCTGACGGCATAATTCCTAAGAAACAGAAAGTAATAGAGGATTAAAATTTAGCACTGAAGGAATAAACTTTGAAAACATAGACTGAATTTTCGATCTAAACTAAATACATACGGAATTCTGAAGTGGGAATATACAACTCTGCGCCATAGTTGATAAACATGAACATTTCCATTATATACATAAGCAGGACTGCAACCAGTATCATAACCATCTTTCCATAGTTAAGACTCGACAATTTTTTTTAAAAAATGTAGAATTTAAAAAATATACAAATCAAAGGCTGAAATACGACTACTGCAACAGAAAAACTCTGAAATAAATGGTTACAGAGACAATGACCACTGTATTGCTCAGAATAAACAATACATTATCTGCTCTTTTTCAATTAAACATTATGCACTTTATGAGTTGGGAAAGTCAAATAACTTATTTAATGCTATTGTGAATCATAACAAGTATATTACAGAATGCATATTTTGTGCATACCAAGAATTAGGAAAGGTATCTGATTTTACCAAGAACTTATACTAATGTTAAACTGCATTTAATAAGGTTAAAATTAGCCAGAATCTATATGGAATCTCAAATACAGATTCTGATTAGCTTTGACATGAAAATAATTAGATTACATTACATTTTAAAATTTACCTTAAAAATGGTGTTTAGAACTAATAAAGCAGATATATCTAGCATAAGGAAATTGTTACAAAAAACAAAATTTAAAAAATACCTTATCATTTCTAGAAGGAAATTTCTACTAAGTAAATAATATCTGAAAGAATTTAATCAGTGCTTCCACAGGTGACCCTAAATTATCTAAACACAGATGAAGTGGGAAATATATTATTTTCTCTGTTTTAAATTTTCCCATCTTGACTTTTCAGTATGTGATGAAATTCAAATTTCTTGGATTTTTATGAATACAAATGAGAAATGAAAGAGCATTTTACAATATTTAAAATCAATATTTTATGTATCTGTGTATTTATATATAGTCATTTATTTTGTATCTCATCACAAACAGGTATGACTTTCAATCATCTTTTATACACCTCTGTCTCATATCTCTTCTCATTTATTTCCCATAAAAATACAAAAAAAAATTGTATTTTGACTAGACAGAATTTTAACACATGACTTTGTCAAGGGCATTTGGATTACAAAATTTACAGTTCTTTGTGGGAGTAACATTATATATTTCTCTTTCTATAAAACACGGTACATTGTATGATTTATTAGGATAAAAATGGTTATATTGGTAGATTTCTAGCTAGCATTTAATCAGCTCATTTTCTATCTCACTTAGAAACAATTTTATTTTTTGTGCATAACATGTGTTAGTTTCACACAAAAGAGAGCTTAATACCAAATTTACCGTCAGTACTTTGAAAAATAAAACCATTAGTGTGTTAGATTATGAGTTCAAATCTTCATAGCCATAGAACCCACTAGATAACTTTATACCAAAATCACCTTCCCTTACCTAACTTGCAAGGATATTTCTAGAAGAACTAAATGAGGAAAGTAGAGTACCCATGAGAGAAATGTCCACCCCCCCCCCATACACACGCATTGCATTATATTCCTTAGGTGAAAGATAGAATGCAGAAGCAAGTCATACCAATAGTAAAGACATTGCAAAGATAGGCAAGATGTACTAATGAGATAATACAGAAAAATTATGAACAACTCACTCTTACCAGTGCATGCCGACCTTCCTCATTTATCAGCTGAAAGATTCAAATCCAGGAAGCCCCCACTGGCACTTGCACAACATCTGCCCAATAACTTTAATATCAATTCCCAATGGAAAGTCAAATGGGTTTTTGAACGCAGAGATATAGGTACATATATAAAAAAGTGCCACAAAAAATGTGCCAGACTTTGAACTACCATGTCAGCAGTGGAAAAACCTGAATACGATTTGCACCTCACATGGCGTTTGCCGGGACTCTCTGTATAAATGGAGCATAGTCTCCTCCCCTCAGTGTAACTGACTGTAGATCACATTGTATCTAGCTGTAAACTGAGGGCATCTGTTTTTTTAAATATAAGCAATGCTGCACTTCAATGGTTAGATGGCCTAGACATTGGTATTTGAACATAAATCTTTATAACATTTATATTTCATTGGAGTTTACTAATCTAGGTGAAATGTTAATATATAATATGCCATACATTAAATTAACAATAAGCAAAGACAGTCTGGAATGATGTTTTTCCTCAGATCTGGGTGGTCTCCAGATTGCTGGCATTTTGGAGGGTGTTCAAGACCTGCTCTTTGCCTAGGTCTTTGATAAGGGTACTATAACTACTGGATAATGTAGATGTTTGGATTCTATTCAATTTGTAGGCCGCCCTATTCCCCGAAGGGACTCAGGGCGGCTGAACAAAGCCAAGGGAGGGGAAATTACAAAAAGTGAGACAAAGACAAACAAACAATACAAACAGTTTAAAAGCACAACAGACACAGCAAATTCGAGTAGGGGGGGAACTCAACCCCAGGCTTGCTGGGACAGCCAGGTCTTCACGGCCGTCTGGAAGGCCTGAGGGTGGAGAGGGTCCGAATCTCCATGGGGAGCTCGTTCCAAAGGGCCGGGGCAGCCACAGAGAAGGCCCTCCTCCGAGTAGTTGCCAGCCGACATTGGCTGGCAGATGGAATACGGAGGAGGCCTAATCTGTGGGATCGAATGGGTCTGTGGGAGGTAATCAGCAGAAGGCGGTCTCTCAAGTACCCAGGTCCAATACCATGTAGGGCTTTATAAGTAATAACTAGCACCCTGAAGCGTATCCGGAGACCAATAGGTAGCCAGTGCAGCTCGCGGAGGATAGGTGTAACGTGGGTGTACTGGGGTGCACCCAAAATCGCTCGCACGGCTGCATTCTGGACCAGCTGGAGTCTCCAAACACTCTTCAAGGGCTGCCCCATGTAGAGCGCATTGCAGTAGTCCAGTCTTGAGGTCACAAGGGCATGAGTGACTGTTGTAAGATCCTCCTGGTTCAGGTAGGGAGGCAATTGGTGCACCAGGCGGACCTGGGCAAACGCCCCCCTGGTCACAGCCGACAAATGGTGATCTAAAGTCAGCTGTGGGTCCAGGAGGACTCCCAAATTGCGAACCCTGTCTGAGGGGTGTATAATTTCACCCCCCAGCCTGAGGGATGGAATACTAAGCCAATTTGTGGGCGGAAAAAACACAAGCCACTCGGTCTTGTCAGGATTGAGAGCCAGTCTGTTCACCCCCATCCAGACCCTCACATCCTCCAGGCACTGGCACATCACGTTATATAACAATATATTTATTGTTGTTGCCCAGAGTGCTTTTGTTCCTTGCATTTATTATTGCATTGTTTTATTTTTCTGGTTTTTTTTACTTGTGAAGTTTACTATAGCTGAGAGTCAAGTTGTGTTTCTTCAATCAATCTTTCTTGGAGAATCTTACATTTAATAGAAGTGCAAAAATATTTAGGGCAAAAACCTAAAACAGTTAAACAATAAAAATCAAAAATTCTTTTGAACATATTTTATAACATGAATAGACTTATACTGACTACCTTTAAAATATATTTATTTATTACCGTAATTAAACTTGTATGATACTCATCTCATTGAAGGTGACTCTAAGCGCCTTACAGACATATAATTAAAATAATAAATAGGGATCTCAAAAATTAAATTCAATTAAAATTCAATTGACCTAGATGGAGAGGGAGAGCACAAAGTGCACATAGGGAGGGGGTGAGCTGTTATCTTCTCCATTAACGTCTTCCTAAATACCACATCCCTTTTGGGGAACCCAGCTAGTTACATAACCAAGTCTTCAAGACCCTTCAGAAGGCCAAAAGGGTTGGTACAGATCTCCCTCCTTGGGAGGCATGAGGTTTCAGATGACAGAGCCATTACAAAAAAAGTTCTTCTTCTGGACCTGGACAATTAAAATTCCTTGGCTGACAGGGTCTGCAGCATGCCCATTCTGCCACTGTGGGTGGGGTGGGCTCATCCCATCTGGGTGAACTGGTTCTTCAGATAACCTGACCCAGACCATGAAAGGCTTTAAATGTAATAACCAACAGCTTTGAATTGGATCAGAAGCAAACTGGCAGCTAGTGCAGTTTGACAAGACATAGGCCACTCTAGGAACTCCAAGAAGGGCCCACATAGATGCTTTTTGCATCAGCTGAAGTTTCTGGATATTGTTCAAGGGTAGTGCCAAGTAGAGCACACTGAAGTAGTCTAAGCATGAGATAGCCAGTGCTTTAGTAACTGAGTGCAGGGATTCCTGATCTAGGAAAGGAACAACTGGTGCACAATTTCCTAGCCATGACAGCCATTCAACTCACCGAGCAGGAGCCCTGAGTCCAGGAGAATCCACAGATTGTGTACTGGGTCTGTCTGGGGTAGAGCAACCTGATTCAGAAGTAAAGAAGTCCTGGAGCTAGCAGTTCCACACAACCTAGGCCACTCAGTCTTACCAGAATTCAGCTGAACTCTGTTGTCCTCCATCCAAACCTTCCCAATATCTAGGCACCATGAGTGTAATGAAAGCATCACTTGGATCACCTGGGATAGATATGTAAACTTGAACATTAAGTTACTGATGGTACATCACCTCTTGGTGGCAGATGATTTCATCCAGCATATATAGATATTAAAAGGAGTGCAGAGAATACCAAGTTCTGCGACAAAGGAACGGCTATGGACCGAACAGCACATCCCTGTCAACATCACCACAAAGGACCAGTCTTGAAAAAAGGAAACAAACCTGTGCAAATCTGCCCTGCCCTGCCCAGCCCAGCCCAAACTCTGTAGCCACCATAAAAGGATATCATGGTCAACGGTATCAAAAGCCACTGAAAGGTTAAGCAGAACAATGACAGGTGCATTACCTCCATCCTGTTCTTGCCAGAGATTATCAACCAATGCAACCAATTCTGCTTCGGTCTCATAATCGTGCCTGAAACCCGACTGAAAAGGGTGTACATAACCTGTTTCATCCAGGACCTTCTGAAGCTGCTAA